GGCCCCGGCTTCCCTGCAGCGATCCCATGGACGAACTCCGGATGCACCCAGCGTTCGAACTTCACGACAGGAAACCTCCGGTCCTCCGTGCCGATCCCCAAGGCAGCAGCCCGGTTGAGGATCCCACAGAGGAGTTCCTCCGTGATGTGGTTCGAGCCTGCACACCCGTCCAGCATGCATTCCACCATGCCGTCGATAACCTGCACGACTGTTCTGTACTGGTACCCCCCGACCTCGTTCTCGCAGAGGTGCCACCAGTCCTGAGGCAGCTCGTCCAACGAGCTGAACTTCGACGACGAGCTCTTGGCAAGCGGGAAAGCGGAGGAGTTCGCCGCAACAACCGTGCAAGCGCTCCCAATCTGGATGGAGAGCGTAGCGAAGGGATTCACCATCCCGGCGCCACTCGGGGCCGCCCAGTTCGAAGGCAACGCGGCTCCCCCAGTGGGGGGAAGCGAATGGACCATGTCACAGTCCGCTCCCTTACGGCACGACCCGTTCTTCTTGAAGAAAGGGCAGATAGTCCCTGGCGGCTTCGCGCCCGCCTTGGACTTCGCCTTGGGCTTGGCCTTGGCCTTGCCTTTGGGCTGCCCTCCGGGTCCACCCTTGCCCTTGACCTTGCCCTTCCCCGGCGTTGTCGCCAGGGTGGACGCGTCCCGCTCCTTCTTGGCCGCGAGGGCCTTTTTGCGGAGCTCCTTGTCGTGCGAGTAAGGGCACGCGTCCCCTTTTGGGCAGTTCCCGTGGTCGCGGAAATGGAAACAGATAGGCTTACCTTTTCCATTTCCTTTCGGACCAGCGGCAAGCGTGGAAGAGGCGGCCGCCTTGGCCGCGGCCTTAGAAGCCTTGAGCTCCGTCCTCAGCTTCTCGACCTCCTTCCGCGCGGCGGACAGGGCGGGGTCTTCCGTCGAACCTGCGTACACGCTATTAGCCGTCACCCGATGCGCAGCCTCACGCTGCTCATATTCGAGGACGACCTTATGCGCTTCTTCCCAGGTCGAAGGGCCTCGAAGCCCTGCGGATGCGCCGTCGCTAGGCCACAACCGCTTATCACCGCGGATCTCCTTCTGGAGATGTGGAGGCATCTTGCGCAAGTAGCTTAGGAAGAGCTCCCTCGCTGTCTTGCCAAGACCCACACTCTCCAGCTCCGCGATGGAGGCCTCAAACAGGGGCTCGAACTGGTGCCCTGTGAGACGGCCCTTAGTGAGGGCGACGTGCTCCGCGTCCACCCTCATCTCCTTCTCTTCTCGGCTCTCGCCGAAGACAAGGTGCCGCTGCTTGATCCTTTCGTAAACGGCTTGGGGATTCTCAGTAACTTCCCCGGTCTTGGAGGCAGCCTTGTACACGTTAGTAAAGGTCTTAAGCCTCGAGCCGCGGCAGCGAGCACGAAGGGCGATGAGTTTCTCCCGGAAATTCATCCCCTTGCAGTTGTTGGCAAGGCCACAGACGTCCTCGAACTCTTCGTAGAACTGGACCACGTCCCGGATGTCGGAGCGATCGTCGGTGAGCGAGGGCCATTGGAGGTCCGTCTTCACGGTCGTGATCGACGTCTGACCTCCGCGAGACGCCAAGGCCTCCTTGAGCGCCTCGGTCTGGGCCGCCAAAGCTGCAGCGAGCTCTCCGGCTCCGCCGCTGGCGGAGTGAGGCTCGCCGGGCTTATCCTTCTTAAGCCCTTCGAGCTCTATCTCCAGAGCCGCAAGGCGGGACTTCAGGGGTGAGTCCCCCGGACCAGGTTGCGGATCCTCAGGGATCGCGAGCTGAAGGTCCACCGGGAGAGGCGCCGGTGCTCCGGACTTAAAGCCCGACTCCGCAACGGCGCCCGTCCGGGCCGCCAGGGCCGGGACAGAAGAAGGAGTGCTCCAAACCTTCTCGGGATCGCCGCTGCTCTTGCCTCCCAGGGCCAAGATCAGCTCGCCGAGGCACGAGATCTCCTTCTCGACCTCCTCTCGGTCTTCCGACCCAAGAGAAACCGCGGCAACGGTAAACCTGGTGCGCAGGGCCCGCACCATCCTGGCAGGGTGCCAGTCACCTCCCATTTTGCCGTATTCCTCGGCAAGGATGGTGGCCTTGGTAGTGATCTTCTCAAGATCCTCCACCGTGACCTCTGCCTGGTGCGCCTTCAAGGCCACAACCAGCCTTGAAACCCGCGTCAGGTAATCCGCGACCGGTTCCTGGTCGGGACGGTAGAGCTCCCGCAGGTCCGCCTGCAGGGTCTCCGCCGTGACGGGACCACCCGTCCCAGCAGACGAGGGAGGCCCGGAACGGGCCGGGCCGCCGGCCACCGGCGAGAGAGCAAGCGCACCAACACGGCGCGCCGTCTCGGCCACGTCCGCCGGCGCAGCGGCAGGACGCGGAGCCGGTACCCCGGCCTCCGGCAGAAGCTCTTCAGAGCTGGGGCCCGGATCGCCATCCTGAGCACCCGGGCCCGCTTCCGCAGCTGGAGCTTCCTCATCTTCCTCTTCATCTTCTTCCTCTTCCTCTTCGGCATCGAAGTTGTCGTAGAGGAATTCCATCGTCTCCTTCCACAGACGCTGTTCATCTGCTAGCGTCGTGGATCGTCCGTCCTTCTTCTTGGTGGGACGGGACCCCGTTTCCTTACGCCAACGGAGCCAGTACATAAAGGGCATCTTCTCCGGGTACTCCACTGACCCATCCTCGATGCACCTCAGCAACGTGGCTCCTTCCGGCTGACCTGCGACCTCAGCGCTCATGGTCGCCTAGCGAAGGAGAGAGCCCCGTGCCACACAGGACCACGGCCTCAAGGCGCACGACAAGCGCGCCTTCGAGGCCACGTTAAAAGATTGCGGCGCAGCAGCCGCCTGGGTGGCCGTTTCCCAGAACAGCCCCCAATTGTGGAGAACGGAAACCCAAAGGGGCAGCACGCACCCTCGTTTTCCGTCCAAGCAGAAAGTCCAACGACCGTGACAGGTCGAACGTCCGCCCAGGACGGGCTGCGCGCAATTGCGTCGCGGCAACGAGAAGCTACCAACGACACACTGCCGTGCTCACTTGAGCCAAAAATGTTATGAATACGAATTACAGAAGAGCATGCATAAAAGCATACAGCACAACAGCCAGCCCGCAGACTATGTACAGTTACAAGTAGTAGTAGTAGTAGTAGTAGTAGTAGTAGTAGTAGTAGTAGTAGTAGTAGTAGTAGTAGTAGTAGTAGTAGTAGTAGTAGTATAGTAGTAGTATAGTAGTAGTAGTAGTAGTAGTAGTAGTAGTAGTAGTAGTAGTAGTAGTAGTAGTAGTAGTAGTAGTAGTAGTTGTAGTAGTAGTAGTAGTACTGATACTACTACTACTACTACTATTACTACTACTACTACTACTACTACTACTACTACTACTAGTCCTAGTACTACTACCACTAGTCCTACGACGAGGACTACTACTACTTCTTCTACTACTAGTACTACGACTACTTTCTAGTGCTACGGCTACTGCTAGTTAGTGATAGTGCCGCTGCTACTACTAGGACTTGTAATGCTGTAGTACTAGTAATACTACTACTATTGCTGGCACTTCTCCTCCTCCATTTAGAACTGACTGACCTCACCGCAGTTACTACCACTTGCTCCTATTGCGAAGAGTGGTACTTTGCCACTAGGCGATGATGAATGAATAATAGTACTGCTCCTGTAGTCCCACTATTTCTAGCGGTATACTACTACTACTACTACTACTACTACTACTACTACTACTACTACTACTGCTACTCCTACTGGTACTTAGTGACAGTGCCACTTCTACTTACTCTTGCCACGAGTCCTAACTGTACTTGTGCTGCTACGACGACGACGACGACGAGTACAACTACAAGTACTAGAACTACTATGCTGCTACTCCGACTTACTTCCTTCTAGCACTGCTGCTACTAGAAGGAGGGCTACTACTAACTACTACTACTACTACTGCTGCTACTACTACTAGTACTACTACTAGTACTACTACTACTACTACTACTACTACTACTACTACTACTACTACTACTACTACTACTACTACCATTACTACTAGTACTGCTGCTGCCGATGCTGCCAGTGCTGCTGCTGCTGCTGCTGCTGCTAGCAGCACTAATAATGATACACATTAATGTACTGTCATAACGGAATGTAGCATGTCCAGCTTAAACCCCTAAACCCTAGACCCTCTCTCATTGATTGTTCTACCAGCATCTACTGTAGGGTTTAGGGCTTATGTTGTTTTTCAGGGTTTAAGGTTTAGGGACATCGCTGCATACTTGAGTAAATTGTTGCGCTTATTGTATGTAGTAGCAGTATCAGTATGTTTTTAGCAGCAGTGAATGGCTGCACTCCACGAGTTGCATACCTATCTATCTATTGTTTTCCATTAGTTGGAGAATGTAATTGTAGGAACAATACATGGACGGCAGCAATAATAATAATAGTAAAGAACAAGTGCACACTCCACCACCCACCTACAGGTCTGGCAGCTGAAGTAAGTCACTATGAACTACTACTCCTCGGTGTTTAACCCACTAAAACTACGTAACTAACTAACTGACTAAGATAGAAGCGAGCAACTTCTGTTAAACAGATGAGAAGAAATTGAAATATTAGTATTTTCTCATCAACCACTGACTGCAGCTAGGCAGCTAATTATGCAAAGGTGCACGGAGGCAAAGATTAGTGAACCAATGGACTAGGCTAGGAACTGCGCATGTGTGACTTACTGACTGAAGGCGGTGTGCCTTCTTGCACTGCAGTCGAGTGGTGGTCGAATTCCGCCTGCGACCAGCACCTGGTCAGGCAGTGAACGAAGCAGGTAGGTAGGTGTAGGGAGGCGAGCAGTGCGGCTGCAGGGCAGGCGGACAGCAGCGTCTGTTTTTGTTGCTGCCGAAGTTCTTGCGGCTCACGGCCTCGCAGCGGCGCCCAGCCCTGCAATTCCTTCTGCATTGCCATAAGCAAAACTGACGACGGCGGCGCAGCCTTTGCATCACGAACCGTTCCCTCTTGCGGCTAGTCCGTGTCGGTGAAACCGACTTCTTGCCGGAGTCTTTTCTGCACCCATGTGTATGTGCGCTTCCAGACATTATCCGACAGGATGAAGTCTTGCAAGGTCTTCATCTGGCAGCGTCGATGAGCAGACGCCAGCAACGTGATGAGCAGATCTTCCATGTTCAGTGTAAGCACGTTGCTTCTTGCTTCTTCACGAATGATCTGCTCTAGCTCACTAAAGTTCGCGGCCAAGGTCTTGACCTCCGATCGAGCAGCCTAGAATGGCGATCTCTTGCAAGATGATGTCCTCCAAATCGGCAAATTTCCTCTGGCCGTCGTCCGACATTAGGATGCCGCTGTACATACCATCTTGCCGAACCCGAGCCCAGGCACAAAGCGAATGGCGAAGTGCTCCTCTTGCGTCTTGCTGGCACTGCCGCAACTCGACGTGCAGGTTGCCGACGAAGTCCCAGTCCGAGCTGACTCTCTGGCGCAGGTCTTGCATACTTCTCGAAAGTGTCTTGCTGGCTCTTGCGCGAAGCGCAGCTTCAACCATGTCGGGCACCAGCATCAAGGCTCCATAACAGGCGTCTTGCGGAGCATCTGGCGGGACATATAGGAGGAAGTCTGTCGTCAGGCGTTGGAGTATGGCAAAGTTCTTGCTATCTTCGCAGTTTCCGCAAACATTTCTTGCGAACACTTCCCACACCCAGTAGCTCGACATCATGCTGAGAAGTATCTCTGACTGGACTTTGTACAAGGATTGAATCATCTGCGACTGAAGGTTGTTATTCTTGCCGATCTCCAGAAACGACCGCTCCAGAATCAACCTGTTATCCCGCCACGTCCTGAAGCAACCGATGAGGTGCCAAACCACTGCGTCTCTTGCCAGCACTTTGGTATCCTTGAACGCGCGGTTGATCTTGCCTCGGTCGACGAAGCCGACTATCTTGCCCAGACTGTCGATGTCTTTCGTCATCTGCTCGAGCTCGGCCCAGATGCGAATGGATCTGGCAAGGCCTTTGTTTGAGTTCTTGCTTTGCTCCAACAACTCAGATCTTGCCGCTATGTAATGCCGGTTGCATCTTACCACGCCCATGACCTCAAGGAAGCCGTTGGTCATAGCCGAACTCATGAAGATGCTGAGGTCGAAAGGGCTCTGCATTTTGCTCGATCTACAGCTGGACTCTTGCCCTACCTGACCTTTGCAAAGGCTGCGTCTGCAAATGCAAGTGTGTATTGTTCGTTGCTGCGAGAAGGGCAAGCGCTCCAGGCAAAAGCATTGAACACTTGCAGCGAGGCACCTGGGAAGGCTCCGAAGGTCTGGCCGTATTCTCGGCATTTGCCTGGCGACGTATTGCTGTACCAGGGTTTGTGCTACAGAGAACAACAGAAAGATAAAGACATAGAGTGAGAGAGCTCGAGAGAGAGAGCGAGAGAGAGCGAGAGGAGCCAGAGAGAGCGAGAGAGAGAGCGACGAGAGAGAGCGAGAGAGAGAGAGAGAGAGAGAGAGAGAGAGAGAGAGAGAGAGAGAGAGAGAGAGAGAGAGAGAGAGAGAGAGAGAGAGAGAGAGAGAGAGAGAGAGAGAGAGAGAGAGAGAGAGAGAGAGAGAGAGAGAGAGAGAGAGAGAGAGAGAGAGAGAGAGAGAGAGAGAGAGAGAGAGAGAGAGGGAGACAAACGGACGGGGAGTGAGGCGCAACCTTGGTCCCTGAAAACAATAAACAATCTGTTTTAATTTAATACCGCAAAGCATAGTCCGGCAGTCGTGTCCATTCTGTTGGTTAGTTCTTGCAGGACTAGCAGCACTGCGACTAGGAACCTTCGGGCCACAGCACGGTCGTGCAGTCTTTACCCTCATCGACAGACGCGGTGCCTGCACCAAGCCGGGAAGTGAAGGTAGGTCCTTGCCTCCGGTGACGAACGCATCCAAGTCTGACATTCATATGCTATCTCTCGTAGACTGCGTGAAGTTACGGGCAGAGAATGCGATCTTGGCAGCCAGGCAACGGTTAACTGTCATTGTCCTGCAATTCAGCACTGATAGTTGAATACGACAGAAATTCGGAACACTGACTGTCTTGCTGCTGAGCGCCATGCTTTTGCAGCCTCTGGCCTTGGCCCGGTGCAGGATGTGGACAGGACTAACACCCTCATGGCGAAACATGAAAGCTCTGACCGACTGTTTGCGAATCTATTGACTGGCTTCCCGGATGAAGCTTTTGCTGAGGAAAACCAAACCGAATCGGCAAGCCTTTGACCTTTGATTAAGTATGTGGGCTTTCTTTCTGGGAGGACCGCCCGGAAGGCTTAGAGGAAGGGTTGCTGCGAAGGGGTGGGCCGAAGGAGCCCCGCGAGCGGCCGCGAAGGAGCCCCGCGAACGGCCGCGAAGGAGCCCCGCGAACGGCCGCGAAGGAGCCCCGCGAACGGCCGCGAAGGGTGGGCACTGTGCCCAACTGTTAAAGAACGGGCTTCACTAAGCTTCCTACTCTCAAACTGAAGCGGTCACTTTTCCTTGTGGGTCACTGTGTCCGCTGGTCTCGAGCCTTGCACGTCGCGTGTGCGTGACGGCTGTTCCTGTACATTAACTGCACTGCACTAACTGTGTTACTGTGCCTGGCAAGATGTTTAACACCCCGCCTTCGGAGTTAGCGAAAGTTCCTCGACTGAGGTGACTCCGACTTTTCCTGTCAACAGTAAACACACTGCAGTTCCATTTCACTTGCAAAACAAACACTCTGCCTCATCGCAAACATATGTTCCTATGTTCACTCGCAATCCTCTCCAAGGTTGCTCGACTGTACAAAAGACGTTCCTTTACTATACTTAGATCACCACAGAAACAAAAAGGGCTGTGCCACGGTTTCTGTGTCCTGCTGCTTCTTTCCTCGGCTCTCTGGCCTCAGTACTGCTCGCTGTTCCTTTGCTTCACTGGAAGGTCACTTCGCCGTCGTCGACCTTGTAGACTTTTACTCCTTCTTCTTCGTTGCTGACTTCTTTCTGTTCCTTGAGTTCTTGCTCTAGCCACTCTGCACGCTGCCTTGCTTGTGCTATGCACTTCTCTTTTCCTTGCTTGTCTCTTGATCCTGCTTTCCAACCTGTTTCCTTTGATCCGGAATACCAGTACCCCTGCGTCTTGGCTTCGTTCCACTTCCACTGGTAGTTCTTGTTCTGGAAACCGTAGACTGCAAACCAGTTTCCTTCAAGCTCTCCTTTTCCTTTTCCTTTCATGAACGATTCTTCGTTCACTGGTCCTTTGGCGGAAAGTTCTGGGTCGTCCTTTCCTCCTTTCCTTTGCTGCTGTTGTGTGACACTCGGTGGCTCCTTTC